CCAGTTCCCTCATCAGTCCAGTTACCTGTTGCTTCATCAGTCCAGTTCCCTGATCAGTCCAGTTACCTGTTCACTTATCAGTCCAGTTCCCTCATCAGTCCAGTTCCCTGTTCACTTATCAGTCCAGTTCCCACATCAGTTGCTTCATCAGTCCAGTTCCCTCATCAGTTGCTTCATCAGTCCAGTTCCCTGATCAGTCCAGTTCCCTCATCAATCCAGTTCGCTGTTCACTTATCAGTCCAGTTCCCTCATCAGTTGCGTCTTCAGTCCTGTTCCCTCATCACTCGTGTTCGCTTATCAGTCTAGTTCTCTCATTAGTCTAGTTCCCTCATCGTTCCATTTCCCTCACCAGTCCACTTCCCTATTTAGTCAAGTTCCCTCATCGGTCAAGTTCCCTAATCAGTCCAGTTCCCTGACCGGTCCAATTCCCTCATTGGTTCACCTCCCTCATTGGTCCAGTTTCCATCATTGGTCCAGTTCCCTCATCAGTCAAGTTCCCTCATGGATCAAGTTCCTACATCATCCTAGTTCCCCCATCAGACCAATTCCCTCATCAGTCCAGTTTCCTATTCAGTCCAGTTCCCTCATCACCCCACTTCCATTATTGGTCTAGTTCCATCATCAGCCCAGTTCCCCCATCAGTTCTCTCATCTATCAAGTTCCCTCATCAGCCTAGTTCACCCATTATTCAGGTCAGCTATTAGTCTAGTGCCCTCATCGGCCCAGTTCCTTTATCGCTCCAATCCCCTCATCAGTCCAGTTTCCTATTTAGTCTAGTTCCCTCAGTGGGTCAGTGAGACTGTGAGTCTGGACTCTGCTGGAGATGGACAGTAACCCCCCCTTCCACGTTCTAAAGGTTAAATTGACCTATTTAATCAGGGCTTTTTATTTAAAAGCCGATCTGATGAATGTGGGGTTCTGAACATTACCAGGTGAGACAGCAGACCCAATCACAACCAGATGATGAGCAGTTCCATCCTGGAGGAGGTGATTAAACAATCAATCAGCTCACCGTTTGCGCCTTAATCTAGGTCTGTAAGCCCCGCCTCCAACATTCTACAGCCAATCAGAGCCCTGTCCGTCCGTGGTCCCTCTGTCTGATTGGCTAATGAAACTAGTAGAGAGAGACAGCCGATAAAGAGAGCTTGTTTCAGAGCAGCTGAGGAGGAGCAGAAAAGAAGCGCTTCTGCTCCTCTTCATCATTCCTCTTCTTCTGTGTTTCTGCTACAGCATGGATGACCCCAAAGGACGGACCTCCACACCGTCTCCTGACCCGGTCTTCTCCTCTGATCCGGGTTACAGCGCTGGACTCGCAGGGGCGTTTCTGAGCGACAGGCTTCCTTTGGGAGTGAACGAGGCGAGCGGCGGCGGCGCGGCACCGTACGCGGAATGTCGCCTGGTGGAAGTTCACGGAGTGAAGGTGGCCTCCTTCACAGTGGACGGCGCGGAGCTGATCTGCCTGCCGCAGGTTTTCCAGCTGTTCCTGAGGCACCTGGTGGGGGGGCTGCACACCGTCTACACCAAGCTGAAGCGCCTGCGCATCAACCCGGTGGTCTGTACCGTAGAGCAGGTGCGCGTCCTGCGCGGCCTCGGAGCGATCCAGCCCGGAGTGAACCGCTGCAAGCTCATCAGCAGGACCGACTTTGAGGCTCTGTACCGGGACTGCACCAGCCCCAGGTCAGCCAGGGGGGTTCGTTATTACAGGGCGGAAATTAAACCAGAGGTTAAATTAAAGAAAATCCAATCCATAATCCCAAACTGGATTTTAAATCTGACACATCCTCATCTTAGATCATCAGACTGACATTTAATCCGAACATCTTCAGTAAACATCAGTTCAAATAATCACAACTTTTAAAACTTGTCAAAGTTTTTCAGCCAACTCTAAATGACTAAAATCAGCTTAATATGAATATTTATTGCTTTCATAGACATCTGCTCTTTTCTTGATAAAATGATGAAGCTGTTTTTACACTGACTGTTATCAGATTAAATAACTAAAAAACAGGTCTGCTCTGGTCAAATCACATGAGCTAATTAATATTTATTATACTGATCTGACTGATGGATGAACTGATGAACTGAAGGATTTATGATTATTGTTTAATTATATTTTTATTAGAAACATGCTTCCAATGAAAATCCATTCCTTTGAACAAGGAAAAACACTGAAATCAGATCATTATTAGAAGAGTGACAGCAGGTAGTGGATTTATTTAATGCCTTTACAAAGAGACAATAAAGTTATCATTCTATTATCAAGCATCATTAGATCAATACAATATTTCCTGCGACTTTATTTCTTTATTTGACACTAAAAACATTAAATAAAAAAATACATATAAATTGAATTTTCCATCAAATACATAAAATGCCTATAAAGTATAAATAATAAAGTAAACATTTAGCTTTTTTTGTTTATTTATTTTAAGATTTATTTACTATTTCAATATTTAACTATTTGTATGTTTTTATTTATTTATATTATTTTAAAAAGATCGGTTAATTAAAATGATTAATTCAAGAGATCCATTCTCAGAATCATTCAGTTCAGGCAACCGATCTTAAATTTTACAGTTAAAATGGACTAGAGGGAGGCTTTGGTCACACTGTGCTATTCACAGAGCTGTTAGAGCTTCCTTACATTTGGGATAGCCAATGGCATGGTTTTAGTGACACTTACGATAGCCACTCAGTCAGTCAGTAAGTCAGCCATTCAATGAGCCAGCCAGTCAGTTAGCTAGTCAGCCAGTGAGTGCGTCGGTGACATGCAGCTGAAGCTGAGACATTTCTGTGGCATTTCTCCATGTGGAACAGCTGATCTTGATAATTATCTAGATAATAAAATAATCAAAGAGAAACAGATTTACTGAACATCCCAGACAGGATGTGAAGCATCCAGTCCAGCATGGCAGGCAGAGAACCTCTCCACTCTGCTAGTGGAGAACCCTGATGCCGTACCCTGCATCTAACAGGTTCTGGTGTTAGCTTTCTAATATCTAGTATCTGACAGGATCTCGGTGCTGAATGGAGGTGGTTCACTGAGGGATCCTCGGGAGGAACCGGACCCAGGATAATGGCTATCTGGCTTTCTGACACCCAGACCCAGGAAAAATCCAGATGTTTAATCTAGAACTTATTCTGAGCTCTACCTGATACTGCTTTCAGGGGCTCTGGACTTTCAGGTTTTTGGCTGGAAGGTTCTGGTTCTATTGATCACAGGTGGTCTGTTCGCCAGGATCAAATCATGCGAGTGAAGGAGTGGTTTGTTGCTGCATCATTGGGTTTCAGAGCGAAGGGGTCTATGACATGGTAGATCAAATGGTCCTCACAGAGATAGACATACAGCTCCCACACACTCACTGTGAACATGAGGCCAGCACCTGTGAGGTCAGCCATGTTTATGGTTCAGAACAGCAGGACGGGTCTGGCTGACATGCAAACTGTCATCAGAAAAATAATAACTTATATTTCTGCTGCTTGAAGGATTTCAAAAAGCCATTACCTGTGATTTCCTGTTCTCTGAGCAGAACCGGCCTGAGTGGGTTAAACTGGGCTGGCATAACTTCAAAGGCTTCTTTTCCCAGTTTGATTAAGTTTTACTCGCACACATACACACACCTGAGGAATTTAATTTAGAGCGTTGGCGGGTCGTCTCCGACCATCAATCAAACACTGACCCGTTGACCCACTCAGACATTATGACTTAAGAGCATTAGAACCAGGTCCCTGTTTAAGCAGTCAGATCAGTTAATGTTGGATTATTTCTGTTATTAAAGTATTACATCTATTGTAAGATCTGTGTCCTATGACCGTTTATTAAAACATAACAAAAATTAGTTTTAGCGCTGTTATCTTAGGTCCACCAGAACTAGTACCCTCCCACTGAGGGAGCTCATTAATAGCAATGTTATCAGTTAAAGAGTTTTTGACAGAAAACCTCTAAAACATTGACACCTCACCATGGAGCTATGCCAACCATCCTGAGACTCTCTCAGCCAGTAGACTGCACAAGTGTAGGTGGATTTGTCTTTGTCTGTGTTGATACTACCTCTATCATTCTAATATATCACCAAAAATGGGCAGTTATCCTAAGCTACTCTCTATATCTATGCTGCTATAGGCTTACACTGCTGGAGGACATAGGGAGCCTGGTTCTGCTGATGTTTCTTTATCTTCAAAGGGAGTTTTCCTCTCCACTGTTGGTCCAAGCATGCTTTGTGTGAGGGGCTTGCTATCGAGTTCATCAGTCGATGCAATCAGCTGGTTTTCCTTTGATAGAAAACTTTGAACCAATATGACTGGATGATCTGGTTGACTTGTCTCTGTAAAGTGTCTTGAGATGACACGTGCTAGTGAAATAAACTGACCTGAACTGGGGTTATCAGAGGTATCAGTGGGCGTGGCTACCATGACAATGATTATTATTATTATTATTTTTTTTTTTTGGCAATCATTAACACCCTAACCTTAGCATGGAATCAGACTGATATCAAGCAACTATCATGTCTTTGTTGATGTAAACTATATATTTCATTTGTTTACTTGTAGACAATAAAAGGTCTTCAGGAAATATAATAGGAGCTCATGAACTCTTCATTCCAGAGTGACCTGCTCTAGAATGAACTCTGTCTGATGTTTGTTACTCTGGTGTGTCTTTCAGCTCTCGCCCGGGTCGTCCCCCAAAGAGAAGTCTGGGTTTCATCAGTAGCAGCTCCAGGCTCCTCCCACATGGCCTTCTCAGCCCAGCCCTCCTGTCTCAGAGCAGTGAGAAAATCTAATTCATTTATTTATAAGTATATATTTATAAGTAAATAAATTTTTCACATCAGAACTTCAAAATTCTTAAAAAAGGGTGTTTTAAACAGTTATAGAAAAAACGCTGGGACTTAATTTAGCTACTTTTATCAATTTGAAGTATTTACTGCACATACAGTATTAACAGGATGTACTATATTCACAGTATGGGAAATTTTAGAGATCAACAAATCTTAATATAGTGTTGATGTACTTAAGGTTTTTGTGCAACACTGATTCCCACCTTTAAATCTGCTTCTATTTGTGTGTCCATATCTTTCTTTGGTGACTTTTATTCATCATTCTTTCATTGGAGACCAGGGAAGCAAACAGCAAGCTATTGGTTATATTGGCAATCGGCTAATGGCCCAGTTGTGGCAAAGCTACAGTACGCTATCTCCAGAGATGAGAAGAAGGAGGCTCAGAAAATGTGGTGATGGAAGCCGTCACAGCTGGAGGAGAAGGAACAGGCTCATTATTCTGTCCTTCATCAAGTGAAATGTGAGATTTATGACAAAAAGTGGAGGAATTAGCAATGCAAACCCAGCAGCGGGTCTACAGAGAAACCAGCATCATTTAGCTGACAGAGACATGGCTAACAGCACTAACCAAAGACACATGTATAAATGAATGGCTTTTATCGTCCAGACAGAACTTGGACAGTGGGGCGCTGTGTTTGTGCACCTCTGGAGATGTAACAATGAAAGAGAGAGCAGGAGCAGCTAAAAATGCGTGTGCTGCTTCATTTTTGATGCTTGTACAAGTTTAGTTCTGATGCGCAGCTGAAGCATCTTTGTTGCCCCAGCTGCTCGGTCGAAAAGTGGGTCTGAAGCGCATTGGGCGGAGCTAACTTATCCTTTCTTTGCCTGTAACAATGGCTGCAATATTTGCTTTAATTAGTAGGTAAAAAGTAGTTTTAATCATGGGCGTAGGTTTGCATAGGGACCATAGGGACATGTCCCTACCAAAATTTTGAACCATCCTAATTGTCCCTACCAATAATGTTATGTAAGCAACAGCAGCGTTGTTGCAGCAGTCGCTTCTTTTCCTCTCGCAGCTTCGCTGCTTAGTAGCTGCAGCTGGTCTCTCCTGTCCCTTTAAAGTGACAGCGCACGTCACTGTGCTTTACTGTTTATCTCCACTCTCATTGGTTGTGCTGCCTTAAGTTCCGCCTTCCCTCTCTTTCTGATTGGCTGTTTTCCAGTCCGTCTGCGCTTGGAGCACAAAATTGAAAATTTATTCACGCTAGAATACCACGGTTATTACAATTAATATTAGGCTACGAAACTAGTCCCAATTAAAAAACTGAATATCATGTACGCTAAAAAACAAATAACTTTTTTCTTTTATAAAACTAAGTATTCTGAATCAGCCAGAAGTTCTGAAGACTGCTGGAAAAATTGACAAATAGGCTGTAAGCTATCAACGTTTCTGATTCTTAGCCACAGCCGACTGATAAAGGAAATCTGCTGATCATCTGATATTTAGTTGCTGTTACTGTTTAATTTTTTGATGACTCTTTGAGGAAATTCAGGTATAATTATTAGCAGCTGTTATTTCTTTTATAGAGTATAACAATAAAAGATGGTGCCTAAACATCTGTTATTTTTTGTTTAAGAAGCATAATTAGGGTTCCACATAATAATACTGATATTTAATTGACAATTTCTACCTCTAGAAATGCGATAAAGACAAGAACAAACAGAGGGACACCATTAATATTGATTTTATCTTACAAAGATTTCTACACAGTCTACAAGTAAATTAGTGCAAACATTAATGTCTGGTAAATAATGCTTGAATCTGGCTGTTTATTTTGGATATTTTTACATTACAGATAAGATAGTGTTATATTGTCTTTTATAATCATTAAATGGGATTTTATATTTGAATAAACTTAAAGGCTCATTCTTAGTATTATATTTTGTAGATGATGCCACTAAAAATGAAAATATAGATAAAGAGCTATCTTAACAGTCAGTCAGTAAGTAACATAGGATGATATAGAAGGTTGTTTCATTTAATCCTTTTATATTAAAAACACAGTTATAATCGTTGAATGTAATGTAAGTTGAATGTAATATGATTATAGGAAACACAAATATCCAGTTATAATGGTGCAGGACAGCTTGTAGTTGAAGCAGCTGGCCCTTCAGTGCTTCAGGTGAAGTCTAAATGATTTTAATTACAAAATAAGTAGCAACATTTTTATGTATATACAATATAAATATAAATTTGTATTTGATATGGCTGGATTTAGGGAACTCAAACAATGAGCAGTGATGTTGCAGCACAGGTAAAGAGAGAAGTGTCCGAACCTTCAGGGCTTCAGGTGAAGGTTTTTTTGTCTTGTTTTTTTTTTTTTTCAGTATGAGTTATTGGATGTGTGTTCCCTTTTTTATAGCTCACAAATGATGCCTCATGGATTTTAATATAGTTTGCCTGATTAACATGTTTGTTTTGTTGCCTGTTATCTCCACATGTATTTAGTAAGAAATGTGCTTGCAATGTTACGATAAAATTAGGGCAGCAACTAACAATTATTTTGCAAATAGATTAGTGTGTCGTTAATTTTTTTGATGAATCGATTAATTGGATACCCAAAGGTTCTTTAATTCTTTAAATCATTATTATTATTTATTTTATTTTTTTTTTTACAATTTTGACATAATTACTGATCTAAGTGGGTCACTCTGTCGGGGAAAGGCACATTTCACATTTATATTTTGTTTTAGAGACTCTATACTCCAGCTAATGAATAATTACTCACTAAATTAGTTGACGAATGTTCAAATAATCAATTAATATGATTCATTTTTTCAGCCCTAGATAAAATACATGAAATGGGCAACACAGAGTAACTAAAGCCTAGATGTTCAACTTTTATAGTGAAGTTAGTATTTTAATGAATGTATTATTTTGCTTGATACAGAGAGAGAATAGTAGGTACAAATATTAGAGTGGGGTTTAACTCTGTACAATTCTCTATCTTCAAAAGAAAATACTGTATTTACCTTCTCTCTTAGTCCTACAAATGAAACCATTTTCAAAGTGGAAAACAGTCCTAATTCCACATTCATCAGAGCCGCTGATAATTCAAACATTGATAAACAGCATCTAGTGACTGTAGTGCTTATAAAATTTTTATTAATGTAGAAAAATGCTGCTTTTCTCTTTAAACAATGAATTCCTCTTGTCAGTACGGATGCTCACATCGAGCATAAAAAAGGGCATGCATATTGCATAGCACCAATGACACCCGACCAATAGTGTCCCTACCAAAGTTCAAATCAAACCTACCCCCTTGGTTTTAATATATATTTTTAAGTGAGAAAGTCCACCTATAAAACATCGTCAGTGCAGTAATCATGAGGATTATGATCCTGCCTTCAAGTATTATTTCGCAGTCAGAGCCGCTCAGAGCCCTGTACACAAGCGATGCTCTGTCACTAGGAATCCCCTTCAACAGCAGCCTCTGGCCCGATCGCCTCTTCGTGTTTTCCGCTACTGTTCATGGCGGCAGGAAGGCGTTTTTTACGTACGTAATCCAAACTGTAGGCACAGGAATAATAGACTCGAACATATTTTGTCCTCAGGTTTGGACATTTTAAGTTAATTTAGGCGTTAATAAACTGTTTCAGAGGAGTGATCATAGCGATCAGCATCAGCAGTGCTGTGTCTGTCTCCCTGCCAGCTCCCAGATCAGCTTCTATGATTGGTTAATGTGGCGCATTGAGCAGCAAAGGTAAAAAATGTTTAACTCCAGCAGCTGCTGCTTCTGAAGCAAGTCCCACGCGTCAGATGCTCAGAAGCTTGTGAGGCGCTGCTTCAGCTGCTCAAAACAAGCTGCTGCACCTTTTCCTGCACCAAGATGTGTGTCAACCATTGACTTTGCATGTAAACTAGCTGCTTCTGCTGCCTCTGCTGCTTGCAGTGTGAACGTTGCGTTAGTCAATCAAAAGCCAAACGGTTTCCCTGGAGTAGATCCTGTTGGGATGTTTCCATCAATCATCATCAGCATCTTCATGGCATCTGATGGTATACAGGAAGCAGGAAAAGTAGCACCATGCTGTATCCAGGGGGACAGAGCCCATAAAAGACCTGCATTTCCTCCTCCTCAACCTCCTCCTCCCTAATAGTCATATACACTAAAATATAATTTCCAGATGGAAAATCCTCATAAGCTCCTTTTCTCTGATCCTCTAAATCTGAAGTGAGTCGGAGCTTCGGGTCCCACTCGGTCTGTCAGTCGCTTTGATATCTGCTAATGAACATTACTAATTATAACAGTAGCTCTGACAGTCCGACACCTCTGCAAGATTAGTCACAGGCACCTGACAGGCACAGCTCAGGGCTAAATCACACATTAGGATATTGATGCTTTCCTCCACATTATAATAAAAAGTAAAAGGGGTCAGAGTTAGAAAGGTTTGAAAGAAGCTCCATGACGGTTCCTGGAGACGATCAGCGTGTCTTTGGACTTGATCACACCTGTGGGACGTAATTTGTCAGCCATCTTCATCTGTTTTTATTCAGTCATTTTTTTAAGCTGAATATTAAAACACTGTAGAAGAGAGGAAGTGAAGGAGAAGATCTGAGGCTGGGGGCTGGAAAACCGTTCCGTCAGTGAACCTGGCTGAACTCAAGGCTTCTCCGTCTCATCCATCAGTCTGAGAAGCAGCCAGCCTTTAATGTTCTAATGTTTCTGCTCAGCCGAGCGTTTGAATCCTGCAGAGGACATACCGACCCTGCACCACCGTCACCTCGCTGACAGATCTGACAGCTTGATGAAAACACTCTGCAGCTTTTATTAAAAGTTGCCTCCTGTGAGGTCACAGGATGATGATGATCAAAAGCTCAGTTTATTAAAAGCTAAAGGTTGACTTTAAACTGCTGCGATGCAGAACCCGAGCTCTGCAGACTGGTTCAGGCTGTAAGGCTGCAGAGGAGAATCAGCCCAAAGAGATCAGTCAAAGTGACACCTCTGTCTCTTTTGTTCCATCTCAGCACCAGTTATGAAAGCGCTCTGTTGGATCCCTGGTTTCTTCACCTTCTTCTCTTTCTCAGATCCTCAGATCCACTTTCTTTGCAGATCCTATCAGCAGGAGGAGACAAAGTTCTGCCGGTCCGGGTCGGTACTGGTTTGTCCTATTGGAAGACGTCTGGGTGTGAATTGGGTTTCTTTGCGTTAAAGATCTATTTAAACTGTTCTGGGTTTTCTAATTTCATTCTGGTTCTGTAGAGTTCGTCCAAAGTTCTGGAACTTTCCTCAGCTTCGTCTTTGCTTCTTTATATGGGCTCACTTTGTGTGGTTCTGGTTCTGCTTCCACTGTCTTTCATTGTCTTCCCGTCTAGTTTTCTGCTCAGAATCTCCATCAGGAGTTCTGCATCCTTCTGGTTCCACGGTTCTTTTTCAGCTCTGAACAGAACTGTTGGGGAAGAACAACAGAGGTGGTTTTGGTCACAGCTGGTTCATCAGAAGAAGAACAGCACCGTCAGGATGTTGTCTACCCTCTGTCCTCCTAGAACCACCTGTTTGTCTCAGTGAGGACATCCTGAGGGATGTCTGGGTCCCCACAGCTGCCAGTCTCCAGACACTCTAGCTGGGGCCAATCCTGACCTACTGAGAGAGAGAAGCAGAGCTTTTTTTGGTGTCTTCGTGAGTTTAATGAGCTCATTAGTGGGGCTCCCTCGTTAACACTGAGGCAGGTGGTAAGAAGAGTTTATGGTGTGAGTTGTGAGATAGAGCTGGTCCACAGTCAGCCATTACAGATCAGTTATTTAAACTGTGAACATTAAACTAAAATTTCTTCTGATTAATGAGAGGAAAGCCATCCTGAACCAGTTCTTGCTGCAGCGCCCCCTGGAGTCCGATTCAGATCTCTGTCATGTTCTGTCTTAAGGTCTGACAGCAGTGATGGCTGAAGCTCTGAGGATACACAAGATGAGGAAGATGATCATGCATTTCCATGGCAACGTTAACCAAAGTGAAGCCAACTCAGAGAACAACAACACAGGTTGGATTCCTTGGATCATAAACTCAGTCCTGTCTCCTTTGCTCAGTTGCTGCCTTCTCACTTCCTTCTTTCCTTGGTAGGGGGCAATGAAGGATCATGGGAAAGGGAACAGCGCCTCCTTTCTCCTTCTTCCTTAGCTGCAACACCCCCTGCTGGCTCGGTTTGTCTCAGGGCTCTGCAGCAGCACAGCCGTGAGTCACATCCTGATTGGTTCCCCGAGCTCTGTGGGTGGGTCACTGAACCTTTGTCTCTGCTTCCACAGGTATAACAGATCTTCCTTTTATGGTTATGCCACATCCTCTCCTTCCTGTGGGCCTGCCCCCTGCTGGTGTAGCCATGGAGATGACTCCGTTGACCCAGCTGAGCGGTCCAGCGAACCTGCAGGATGATTCACAGACAGACGACAAGGTGACTGCATGGCTAGCCTCACATGGCTAACAGATGAAACAGTTGCTGTGTCCAAACATCCGCCCCTCCATAGCGCACTATAAGGGTTAGGCCATTTCGAATGAGTGTCCGAACATCTATTGGACAAAAAAGTAGTGGACTCAAAATTTCCCACAAAGCACCTTGAAAAGTAGTGATAATTCACGTCGCTACTCTATCCGTCCCGGAAGCAAGATCTGTTCCACGCATGCGCCATCACATGCGCATCCAGATATACAGTCGGGTCACCCTAGATTGTATTTTGTAAAAAAGGCCTACATGACCAAAAATATTAAACATACTAAACTATAATATGTTAAAGGTTATTAATGTATTTTGTGAGAAAATAAAAGCCTTAAATCCTTTCTGTTTTATCACTCGTCTCGGCCCGATCTGCACTGGAAATGGGATCCTACGCTACTTCCAGTGGCTAACTTTTTGGCCTTTGGATTTAAACAGCAATCTAGTCTTTTTGAGTTCTATGTTTTAGTTTTGTTGCATAATCTAAAGAAAGAAACAACTAAAATGCAGATAAACATGGTTTAATCATATTTTGCCGGACTGCTCTGAGCAGGTCTGATAATGACGTCAGAGCAGCTGTTTAACGAAGAAAATGTAAAAAGCATCGAAATTGTCTCAAAAAAGTCATAAAACATTTTTAAAGTTGATTTTAGCATTCTTTAGTGAGTTAAGGATAGAAATAAGTAATTTTAGTAGCATAATTACATTATTTATGGACAACCGGATGAATATCTGTTCGCGCATGTGCAGGACGGAGCGTGCTTCCAGGACGGATCAGGTAGGGACAATCCATGGTCACTAGACGAGCAGATATATCCCAGAATGCTTTGTTATAGCTCTTCTTGCAAAGCATCATGGGGTTTGTTTTAGGGTGAGAAAGAACAAAGATGACGCCGTTTAGCGAGCCGGAGTCACGTGACCCAAAGGGAGCGAAAAGTAGTGATCAAGTAGTAAACTGAGTCACTATAACGTTCACTATATAGTGATGGAGGGGTTTAGGGGTGAGAGTGGATTTTCGGACACAGCCAGTTACATCGCTAATGCCAAGATGCTAATGCTGACAATGTGCTATGGACTCAGGGGCCTCCTGCAGGAAGCCCCTCCCCCAGTGATCAAGGGCTCCAGCTTCAGGAACCAACCAGTCGGTTGCCTTCCGGAGCATCTTCACCTTCACCTTCATCTCCTCCTCCTCCAGAACACCCACCAGAACCAGGCCAGTGTGAACAAACAGACTTCTGGTTTTGAACAGTGTTGTATTCCTGCTGTAATCTGGACCCTGATGTTGGACCCAGTCAGAAAACGGCTCCATGAACGCAAAGTTGGTGGGAAAACTCGGGTGGTGGTTGATGGATCTACAGTTACACAAACGCTTTCTTTAGCTTTTTGTATTTAGCATAAACATATATATTTATTGAATGCTTTCCTTGAGAACACAAAGGAAACAAAAAACACTGCTGTCTATATTTATAGATAGTTAGAGAGATGAGTTTCAGTGCATTACATATATAGGGCCCAAAAACATTAATGTATACAAAAATAAAGAATAAAAGCCAATTCCGATGCCAAAATTGATATATCATGCAGCCCTAGAAGTACAATTTCAATTCCATCCATCCAGAAAAATATGGATTCTTTCTTGTAAACTTTGTGGTAAACTTGGAAATATATTTTATTGCATGTTGCATATCCCAGTCAATCTGTTTTACCTTTAAATCTGCAGCTCTTCCTGCTTCTCTTTATTTAAAAATATTAATGAACCTCTTTACTAATATGATGATGCTAGAAACAAAATTTCAAGAATTTCTGCAGTCTGATTCTATCTGTTTAATAAGAAAACATGTTACCTCTAACCTGTAACTGGGAGTCTCTGTCCTCTGAAAACCCCACCTTTTTTTCAACTAGTAAAGAACATTTAAACTATATTTTCTCAAGCTTCTTGCATTATAATACTAACTTGTATAAACTTATAATCTGTTGCCGTTTTTCTCCGTATTTCTAACGAACAGATTTTTCGGTGGCATCTCTAATTTTTTTTACTTTTACCTAAACATCATGTTTAAATTCACTAAATGCTGCTGTGTGTCTCTCCTCCCACCATGTAGCTACTTTGTATATCAGTAAAATGCGATCGCAAATCAGATGATTCAAAGTGACAGATCTGATGATGTCACACCGAGAAGCGGGACAGGGGAGCAGTGAGAGAGAGGGAAAAACACTGACTCAAAACACTCTGAACACAGCTGCACCCAACTCTGTTACCTTTGGCTAAAGTAAATGAGTGGAAAGAGGAAGAAAAGCGGAAGTTATTAGTGGGGACATCTCCAAACAGGCTTTCAGAAAGTTACGCCTGTGCTTGTATGGCAGGCAGAGGCTAAACCTGATTGGTGAACAAAAGTCCTTTTGATCAGGAAGGTGGTTCTGAACCCAGAATAAACTGATCTGACCGTCCAGAATAGACATCTGTCTCCTGGACCATGCACCATGTCTCCTCCCTCAGAGCTCCAGTTAACAACCATCAACACAAACATTTCAGCACTGAACAACCCTTTCAATACCATCCCTGTCGATCTGGAGCCGATTGCATCCAGATGTTTACCTGCAGCAATCCCTCTAAGAGCAGGCTTCATCTGCTCTTAGAGGAATTGCTGTTGAGCAATTTCCTCCACATCAGGAGCTGTTTCCTCCTGATGTGTTTCAGGCTTCTAGATTTTTTGATCCTTCATTTTTAGGCGTTTCTCTGCTGCTCCTCTGTTTGCTTCGTTTGCAGCAGAAGCTAATCTTATGCTGGATTATTCAGAGGACGCTGCAGGAACTGGGTCATCCATAGTAGGAACACTGGGAACTAATTTGGTTCCAAACACTTTAAAAATCTTCAGCATGTTTCTGTTTGGCTCAGCGACCTGAGTTACTCTGCTGTAGAGCTGGAATCACTCTTTCTGGGTCCACACCATCATACTGCCATCACTGTGTGAGGTATCAGGACAGAAAAAATTTGGTTCTCTCTGATTACCTTCAGGTTTACTCTCTTATATCTGCAGGTGACACCACTTGGCCCCTCCCCCTTCACAAACCAGCCAATGACAAAATAGCACCCACCCAGCTGCCATCATTCAGGCGCTTCAGCAACTCCTTAGCTCCTCTCCTATTGTCTGAAGGCCTGTCCTCCATGGAGACGCTGCTGACCAACATACAAGTAACTTATTACAAACTCCACAATTTTTTAACACTGCCAGAACATTTTACAGTTTCTGCTTCACAAACACCCCCCAGGGTCTCCTGAAAATGGCAGCAGAGAGCGCCCGCTCCCAGAGCAAAAGGAGTCAAACGGAGCGCAGAGAGTTAGAACTGGAGCTGGACAAAGAACGAGATGTCAGACAGACTCTGCAGAGACAGCTGAGCTGTGAGCTTCAGACACAAGGTAAGAGAGGTCAGAGACAGGAGAGACGGGTCAGAGACAGGAGAGACGGGTCAGAGACAGGAGAGACGGGTCAGAGACAGGAGAGACGGGTCAGAGACAGGAGAGACAGGTCAGAGACAGGAAACAAGGTTGGAGAGAGGTAAGAGACAGGTTGCAGGCAGGAGAGATGGGTCAGAGGCAGGTCAGAGACAGGAGAGGCTGGGTGGAGACAGGAGATGTTTCGCAGCAGACAGATGTCACCAGTTTGTGTCTCGTTGTGTCATTAGTGTCGATGCAGAGGAGGCTGAAGAAGGAGAAGAAAGCAAAGAGGAAACTGCAGGAGGCTCTGGACCTGGAATCAGGGAAGAGAGAAAAGGTGGAGCGGTCTCTGAAGACTTATGAAGGACCAACAGGTGAGGAGCTATACGAACAGTTGAGGACCTGTAGGGCAAGGTAAGGACCTGTAGGAACAGGCAAGGACCTTTCAAACAAGACAAGGACCTGTAGAAACAGACGATTACCTGTTGAAACAGGAGAGGAACTGTAGGAACAGGTGAGAACCTGTAGGAACAGGTGAGGACCTGTAGGAACAGGTGAGGACCTGTAGGAACAGGTGAGGACTTGTAGAAACAGGTGAGGACCTGTAGGAACAGAAGAGGACCTGTAGGAACAGACGAGGACCTGTAGGAACAGACGAGGACCTGTAGGAACAGGTGAGGACTTGTAGAAACAGGTGAGGACCTGTAGGAACAGAAGAGGACCTGTAGGAACAGAAGAGGACCTGTAGGAACAGACGAGGACCTGTTGGAACAGACGAGAACCTGTATGAACAGAAGAGGACTGGTAGGAACAGGCAAGGAAGGAAAGTCTCAACTTCCATTTGTCCTCCATCACCTCCTCTGTAGCTTTACCTCTAAGGTGAGCTAATCTTTCACCTTAGGGGTAAAGATGATTTGATCGGAATTAACTAATATGATGGAGGAAGAAACTCATTGGGTTTTATCTCTCTGCAGAGAACCCAGTCTTCATCAAGCCTCCTCTTCTTTTCTGAATGATCTCTGCCTGGAGGACGGAAGGACAAACAGACACACCGATGGACGGATGTAGAGAGAAAATTGCACCTAAACTCTAAAAGGACTCAGTTTCCCATCATTCCTCCTAGCAGCTTGTCTCTGTGGCTGAACTGCTGAGGAACAGGTGTTACTCCCTGTTGGGCTGGAGCATGACCTGGCTGTTTGAAGTGACACCACTGCTGTGTCACTTCAACCCTTCCACCCTAACCCCTCCATCCCTATACAGAGCAACCGTCTTGCTCCAAACACTAACCCTCACTATCAGTGTCCATCCAAATAAAGTCACTCACAGCTGAGAAAGGCGCCTTGGTTAAAGAGGGGTGGGGTGATGTAATTGAGAATGCAAAGGTTTCTTCCGTCCAACGGAAAAGGAAAACTGTCGTTGCAATGGTAACACAGTGACAGCACATGTGCATGGCTGTTGCTCTCTGCAGTAGATTGATGACATAAAACCTTCGCCCCTTAAAAGAAATATGGACAAATAAAACTTTAAAAGAGGACCTTCCCTTTTAGGATCAATGATGTCTAACTTGTGATTTTCTGTCAGTGTGACAAAGATGCAGCAAACCAGCAGAATATAATATTTTAATACAGGTGTTTCCTCCGCCACTAATTCGCCGCTACACCCGCTCCCAAAATCCAGTCCGTCTGCTCTGATGAAGACTCAATATTTAAGGGTTGAATGGTCAACTTTCCGTACCCACTAGGTGGTTTGAGATGGCTCGTAATGTGACGGACCCTCCACAAGAACGCCTAAATGGAGGGTTAGGGGCCCGTTTGGGATTGGGCCTTAAAAATCCAACATGGCTCCCTTCTCCTTCTCCAACTGAGCATGTGCAGCCTCTAATGTGACCCACCTGATGACATCATAGGGTCTGACCTGGACCTGCTGTGACTTGAGGACCATTGACCAGCCCACATTTCTCTCCTAACATTAAAATGGTTCCAGTTGCAGGACAGGTCAAACTTGTACAACTGTGAGTGGGTTAAAATGGTTAAACTTTTTGCTAACGTTACTAGCTGAAACTAGAATCCAAATAGTAGAGGTGCTGGTGCTGCCATTTAGACACATTGTGTTACTTCCTGTTTTGACTGCTTTGACCTATGTTCTGTGCTGCTGTTCTCCAGCTGTTCTCCTTAATTAAGTTCTCTTTCCTGTGTGTCATAAGCTCAGAGTGTAGGAACGTGAGGCGCAGAATTTGAGGCGAGACAGGCAGTGGGAAGATTCAAAATGCTATTAAGATAAACTGAACAGAAATATGTGGTGCTGTGAATCTACAGCGGCTGCAGGGGGAGAAGGGGCACCATCCATCACTGGCAATCTGGTTGAGGGGGAAACACAAGTAAGTGACCACGATAATCTGATAGAAGATGATCATCCATGTGAGTCACTTACCTGGTCCATCCTCTTGAGTGAGGCAGGATCCAGCCGATGGACTGACAACGAGATACGGCGGGAGCCGCCCAGAGTGTCCCCGATGCAGCAGCCTCAGTGAACAAGCACGAATCTGAGCAAGGTCAGGGAAACAGTTCAGAACAGGAAGGTTCAGAGATCCAGGAGTCCCCAACCCGGCTTAGGGTTCCGATCAGAACAGGAACAGACAGTTTCAGGGTTCCATGAGTCCAACAGCGAGTTCAGGAAGAAACGTTCAGATGGAATCTGGTGGGCTCAGCAGTTAAGAGGCAGAACAAGACACGACCCCAGGAAAACCATGGAACTTTAAACTAACTCCCTCCACTTAGCCAAAAAAGGGAACAGGGTGTGCTCAATGGATAAAAGGGAGGACATGATTTGGAAACGCTAAGGCAAGTACCTAACACTAAGCCTAATACCTAACAGAATAGAGCCACCGGGACCAGAGAGACGTTCATGCAGTGGCCCTTCAACAGTTCATGAAAAGGTAGGAACCAAAAACAATTGGGTGATGATACACAGAAAGTGCAGTTCTAGAGCTTCGCCCACTGGTCACCACCATCCCATCCATATTTCTAAATGTTTTCCCTGCTTATTCATATAACAAATAAGAAACCCACTCTGGTAATTGGCAGCGCCTTAATCAGAAACATGGCATCAGAGACAGCAGGGACCATAGTCAAATGTTTGCTGGGTGCTAGAACGGCCGACATCAAATCCTACCTGTAGCTACTGGCCTTCAGTCGAGACATATGTTTCTCCTTGGTCCTGTCGTGCCTCTATCTTTCTTATACTTCATCCAAAATAGCTTGTTATCCTGAGCTATTTTCAATATTTGTGCTGCTATAGCCTTAGACTGCTAGAGGACATAGCCACCCCTTTCCATTCTGCTTTGATCCATTTCTATTTTGGTATTCTGCAGTATTTCTTAGTTCAACCGCTAACTTTATGCTCTATGCTTTTTCTCATCATAATAGCTTCATCTGGTCTTTTCCTGTTCTCCATCCTGAACCCAGGCAGGCCAAATTCACAGTCAGTCTGGCGTCTCTCCTGAGAACTACAACAGTTCTACTTAAACTCTGCTGCTGAATATCTTCTTAGAATTATTCTAAACAAATAAGGTCAGGAACCAAAACAAAAACAAGATTTCTCTTTGATGTTTATAAAATAACACATCAGCTTTCTGGTGGGTGGAGCTCTGAGGCTCATTAGCATCTCATCAGGGTCCTTGGGAACACGATCCATGTTCTTCAGTCCAGCTGTCCGTCACATACACTGAAAGGCTAATTAGCAGCCCTCATTAGCCTTGTATGATGATATTTCACCACTATTCTTAATCCAGTTGTTTTTCATCTAGAAAACATTTTGATTCCCTAAGGAGCTCTTTACCCTTAACGAGCTTCAGACACCAGACTAACGAGATCAGCACTAATTATCTTCTTAAAGCAGAGATGCTTATTAATGAAAGGTTAAATAATGAAAAAAACTACTAACTAAAATTGGTCCTGTAATATCTAAAGTGCTGCTCGCTGCAGCCAGCATCAATGACCACACCTAAGCTCAGTATCAGCTGCATTAGGCCAGGGCCCAGTTGGACCCCTTTAGAATTCCCAGCAGGGTCTAGTTGGGTTTACTGGGAGGTGAAGCTACCCGTCTTCATTTTGCTCATCTCATAAGACCTGCAGTTTGGACCAGAAACCAACAGACCCTCTACTGTGAGAACATCTAATGTAGGAGGAAGCTGTAGAAGTGAGGAAGATCTGGGGCCATATTTAACAAACTTCTTACAATTAGTCCTAAGATCTATCTGCAAAGAAACAAAAAAATAAAATAAAGCTAAAATCTGGACTTCAGAGTTTTTTATCAAGTGTTTCATTCATACTTTGAGAAAAGTGTAGAATGAGATCTATGTGACTCTCAAAGCGAGAGTGACAATGGCATACCACCTTAGAAAATGGCATATGTTCTCCCTTGCAAGGAAAAAATAAAATAAATGTTGCTTGAATGGGAAAGAATGGATCTCAAATTCAATTTTACTTCCGTCAACAGTCGCTCTGTTTCAAATGGATCTCCTGATTTTTCTGGGAGCAGTTATGACAGAAGTGTCTGATCAACGTGAGATTAGTTCCTGGCTTCAATCCAAATAGAGCTTTAAGGCATGGACGACTTCTGACTTAATGTTTCCAGAGGTCAGCAGGAGATTCAGAACTGAGACACACGTTCAGTCGGCCATGTATGTGAGCATTTACAAGAATCATTCTCAGCACCACTGGTCTGTCAATGCGGACAGATCGTTTCAAAAAGGAGCTGTTTGTAACTAAAATTATGCATCTTTTTTGTTAAACTGATGAATATGTCATGTAGTGTTTTATTAATTGTAACATAATTGAATAAGGCAATATGTGATCTGTATCTCTGACATAATTTTGGTTTATAAGTTACTGTTTGTTTGTTTGGTGTTCAATAGCTGAAAGGCTGTTACAGCTCACCACCTCAAGAACCTCTTTCTGTAAAAAAATAAAATGTTTTATTATCAAAGCTGAAGACATTTTATTTCTGTAAAAAAAAAAAAAAATTTTAAAAATCAAGCACACTTCCTATTTTAAAAAACTGCAATTAAGTTCTATTAAGCGACAGAGGCAAATTACCAGGAAATATATAATACTCATTCAATTCAAAGACTTTATTTATACAAAGGAGACATAAAATGGTCAGTCACCCATCTTTTTAGTTTAAATTTTTTTAAATGATTTTGGACTACTTTAAATTGACATACAGTGGCTGTGTTCTGTTTAACACTGGCTTGTTTAATGTGAAGACTATGTATGTAAATTACATTTTAATTGATCTGAGGCCACTTGCATATGTACAGCAGGGAGCTGTAATCGAGTTGTTTGCAACCAGAGTGGAAGAAGTGTGCAAACTGTGGCTGGGCTAATGCTCTGCAGATCAATCGGGATCTGCTTCATACTGTAATACTGACAATATGCTGCCGTTTTCTGAACATTCAGTCACATTGTCAAAGAAAACACGAATAAAAGACGTGGTGGTATGAAAGTTTACCGTTTTCACTTACACACACATTTACAACCACATATATGAATATTAATTTTAACAACAAAAATATATTGTCAATAAAGCCAGATTACAACATTCAGCACACATGTTGGACCTTTGGTGAAAAATGGCTACTTGCATTAAACTGGCATACGTTTCTCTGCTAGACATAAATATGGGCTCAGCTTTTACTGGGACCAACTGGATGTTCTCTCCTTCATCCTTGGACATGAAAACGGCCTTGACGCTTGTCTGATTAAACATTTCATTCCGAGACGGAGCGACATATGAAGCTAATTTAGCATTAGTTTTTCTAACATAGAAGGTATTTATAGACCAGAGCTTCTATGTTCATTTTCTATGTCTGCTTCTGTCTCCTTGAACCCCCCTCAACAGATGGCCGCTCACACAGAGCCTGGTTCTGCTGGAGGTTTCTTCCGGTTCAAAAAGAGTTTTCCTCCCCACTCTCACCGTGTGCATGCTTGGTATGAGGGATTGCTGAAGAGTCGATATCTACTGTTTCTAGTTACTCGTCCTGTAAAGGCAATGACTGGATGCCACCAGCTGGTGGACCTTAGAAAATTTAATCCAAAAGGATGATCTAAATAATCTGGATCTATAAAGTGCCCTAAGATGACATGATGGGTATTGGAGCATAGAAATAAACTGAATAGAATTTATTGGGAAACTTGCAACAACTAAGAGATTAATAACTACTGACATAATACAATAGATGGGGTAGGATCAGCTCTTGCAACTGTTTAGTTTCACAATAAACTGGAGTTAAACTGCAAGACGATAGTGGATCGGTTGGTACTGGTCTGCAGAAGTCCTCAGTATTTGGGCCTCTTGATATCCACCCTGAAAATACAAACAGAAGGTTCACCAACTGCTCCAAGCTGCTGCTCAGCTTCATTTCACACAAAAGAAGAGCCAAAATGGAAGTAGTCACCCATCTGCCTCCATCTTCTTCCTCTTCTCTATGATCTGAGAGATAAACGGAGCGTTACAAGCTGCAGTGATGAACCAAGGAAGTTCTGATTGAGATGTTTGGGTCCATGACTCACCGCGCTGATCTTCTTCCACTGACGGTCCAGCTCAGCTTTCTCATTGGTCTCTTTGAAGCGCCGCGTCTTCCTGCCTTCAGACATCTTGATGCCGTACTGGAAGGCAGCCCTGCATGGACAGAGAGCAGCGTTAGCAGAAGGGTGAAGTTATCGCTAACAGCAGGGTTAGCATTAGCTAGTAGCAAGATTAGCGTTAGCAGCCTGCCAGGCAGCACTGAGAGAGAAGAGTGGCCTACTTTGGCAGAGCCTCTTTGTTGTTCATGTAGTCAGAATATTCCTCCTGCGTGTCAAAGTCCCAGCGGCCAAGTGGACCCTTCTTATTACCCTGAAACAGAACCACAGCTCATTGGACCTCTGCTCAGATGGAACAGAGCAGCACTGCATGCTGAGAAATGGACCTACCTGGTCCATCTTACTGTAGTCCACCTCCTCATCGCTGTCCACTGCCAAGTCATCCATCCTGCAGACAAACATTGGTCAGAGAGACACAGACATGGAGACAGAGACAGCGGCTGGTGGGGGTGGGGGGGTGGTCTTACGTTGCTGGGTAGCACTCAGCGTAGGAGTTGGATCCTCCGAAGAAATCTCCAAGCTGCTCCTTACCGGAGTCCCTTCTCTGGGAACCAGTACAGACCAGTTAAGGACAAACTCTAGGAAACATGATGACTCAGCATCCAGACCATGAGGACAGAATGTTCTAGTAAAGGATATGGCTCCTGGTTCTGCCACTGGCTGGCTGCTGCTCCTCCAAACTTCTCATTGATCATCTTGATCTGATCTTTGATGGATTCTGGAGCTGGAGGACAGATAGAAGGACGGACAGATTATCCACCAGACTCTCAGTCAGAGGTCCTGGTCCAGCTAATTTAGGAGAACCTACCTGTGTCCACCTCCATCAGCTGGTGTTCGTCTCCTCTGGGTTTCTCAAAGTAGGCCTGCCTCCTGCTCTTGCTGTCCTCATCTCGTGATCTGTGCCGATCTTTGTCTTTGCTCGGTTTGGCAGATGGAATATAGTCTCCGATGTCATCAAAGATGCTGGAAAAGGAACAGAGGCGTCACTCAGAGACATGTCCAGAGGCAGAGGACAGAAGCAAGTGGAAGACAACTGACCTGATGTCGGCTTCAGGGGCCCTCTTCTCATCCGCTTTGCCTGGAACAGAGACAGACATCAGCTGTTAGGACAAAGGCCAGGGACAGCAGGGACACTAACAACAGGACAGAGGAGACACCTTTGTCCTTCTTCTTCATCTTCTTGTGACGTGTCCCCTGTCTCAGGTAGGACAGGATCTGAGTCAGCTTGGAGATCACGATGTCATTGGTGGTGAGAGTCGTCTGAGCCTGAGACACGGGAGGGACAGGGAGGACAAGGAGACATTTAAGGGACATCAGCAGACTGGTGGTTAGAATTTCACTGGGTTCTGACTGGGCCAGTCTCACCTCCATACTGGGACAGTCAGCCTTGCTGCGGATCAGCGTGGTGGGGATGTCTGTGTCGGTGAATTCATCGTCCAGGTCGACCACGTAGGCCATCCTGCCGGGCAGGAAGAGCTCGTTCCTTTCAGAGACTCCTGACCTGAAGACCACGCGGTAGATGTTCCTTCCTACGGAACAGGGTTCCCACACCTTGGTTACCATTAAACTCAAGGACTTTCCAGGACCTAGCAAATTCAAGGTCCTTAACATTTACAGCAAACGTTAAATTGTACCAAAGTACTGTAGGAACCAGTACGCAGAGGGACCAGGACCGTTTCTCTATATGCGTACTTGTATGTTTTCATGTGCTCGTGAAACGTCAACCTAAGAACCAGCACTGTTCCAACTCACAAGACAGAGAACGGACAAAGTTCCCGGATGTTCTCATCCCTCCCTCTTTACAGAGTATTTATCAGAGCAGACCTGTGCGTTCTCCAGACTGACAGCTGTCCCAGCATGCACTGAGGCAGCAGCTTCCAGTGGAGCGCTCAAAGAGCACAGAGTTTTAAGTTAAAAGTTCTCTTTTCTGTTTCCGTTTTACAAATGTGTAAATTTTAAGATCATTTGAGCGAGAACATCATACTTTTAGCCGTTATTAAATGACCCATTTACTGTTTTAGTGCATAATTTATCAGCAGCTAGGCCGTCCTAGCCCTTTTGCAGCAGCCCTCTCTCGGCATGGAGCCGTGTGTGAAGGACCACCGGCTCTGATGGAGGCTTTTTTGCTTTATTTAGCAAAACATTCATTTGGTTTGTGTTTATCTGACTGTGCTAATAATTATTCTCCCACTAAATGAAAAAACAGAGGAGGTAAAATGCAGCTCCAGACGAGCTGAGCATGTGGTGACATCACAAGTACTCTTCTGTTCCAATTGACCCATATATATTCTGCCGACTCCCATTCTCCCAGAGTCCAGACTTTCAACTGCTCTTCTCCAGAACATACTTGGCGAGGACACAAGTCCATACTCGTGCTCTTGCGAATTGAGAAAAAGGCCAGCACTAGAGGAACCAGTACGCAGAGGAACCAGACGATTCCCTCACAGTCGGTATCTGAGAAATTTTTTATCCCAAAATATTGAAGGATTTTTAAGGCCATTTTTTTTTTCTCCAAACAGTTTCCATGATATTAGGAACCCAGAGGAACATGAGATCACAGCTACATCCAGCTGACTAGGAGCCAGAAAGACCGACTCACCCAGACGGGTCTTGAACTCGATCTTCTCCTCTGGCTCCACGTCTTTCCTGAAACAGACCCATCAGCAGCTTAGTTAGTGGTTCTGATCCAAAGCTGCTCAGCAGCTAAAGAACCGTTCTGGTTTCTCACTTGGTCTCTTTCTGGACCTTCTCCATCAGGTCCTCCTCCTCCTTCTCCTTGCTGGTGATCTCAGCTCTCACCTGGAAAGCAGACAGGCCAAGGTAAGGTGCTGGTTACCCAGCTGGACGGGCCGTCGGGCTCAGACTCACCTTCTGCAGCAGAGCGAAGTCCAGACCTTTCACCAAATGGGTATGCTCCATGTCTCCTCCCAAGAACTTGGACTCCTGGATGAGCTGGCGTCGTTTCTCGGCTGCTGACTTGTCCCTGAATCACAGACAGACGGGGTTTTTTTTTCTGGACGATTGAGAAGAGCCTGGATCATCCTGACGCATCAGCAGAACCTGGGAGGAACTCACGCCTCTGCTGTGGGTCCGACAGCCCGGTAGTTGGCCGTGGTGCTGATCAGCTCGGTCTCCTCGTAGTCCTTGTTGACGCCGTCCCGCCGCTCCCGGGCCCTGTCCCTGTACTTCTCGGCCAGCTCTCTCTCTCGCTCCATCTCCTGCTGCCGAAGCTTGGCATAATAACTGAGGGAGAAGACAGCAAGAACCGGGTCAGCCTCTTCCTGGACCAGGACTCACCCAGAGGGGAAAAGCTCTGACCTCTTCTTCTTCCTCCTCCTCGCTGCAGGATCCTCATCCTCGTTGTAGTCCCTCGGCATTCTGGGAAAAACAAACATCGTTCTGTCAGGAGAGTCGGCGCCAGGAGGCGGAACTGTCGGTTCTACTGCCGCCACTCACTCATGATGTCTGGACTTGGTGGGCGGGGCCGAGGCAGGCGTCGCCCGGGGCGTCATCAGCAGCTTCCTGAAGTCATCGTTGGTCAGCTTGGACCTGAAGGACACAAATAGAGGTTCAGTGACGGCAGCGCCACCTGGTGGGTTGTCAGAGGAACAGCACTTACTGCGCAGCAGCTCTGTGGTCGTCCACATCGTGGCCCTCAGGGGCCAAAGGGTTGGAGTAGCTCTCAGCTGGAACACAGACAGGAAGTTAGGGGGGGTGGTCCGACCAGAGCGGTTCTGATCCTTCTTCTCCAAACCTGTGGAAGCTGAACTGAGTCCAAAGGAACAAACGACCCAGATCTATCTGGACAGATAGCACTGAAGTTCTGAGAACTTCTACCGTCGCCCTGAAGCGGACCACAAACTGGACCCAGGTCCAGAACTATTCCCAAAACCAAGTCCCTTAATTCCCTCTGGGATCAGGGAGCTGAATGTGGATGGTGCCTAAAGGTTCTGCTTGTTAAATGCGTTTATTTAATGTGGAGCTTAGTTTCATCAGAACATCCTAAGGATGGTTCTGATCGGGTTTGATGAAGTGAAGGAATTGTTGGTTTAGAAAACCTAAACCAAGGATGAGGAAGGTTCCTGATGTTCTATGTCCTCCAGAGGAGACAACATCTCAGTTCAGTTCTACAGCAGATCTATGAGAGAAGATCTGGAGAACTGGACCTGGGAGTCTACCTGTGTGGTTCAGGTTTCAGCTTTAGCCACGGACTGGACCTGCCTCCATCTGGTTCGGGTTTTAGTGCAGAACACCAGAGTTGAGCCGACATGATGAGCGGTTCTGCTACTTCAAAGCACCTGATTATCAGCGCCATGGCAGCAATGAGGATAAACAGAACCTTAGAAATACTTAAAAACGGGAAAATGTGGATGGGTTCTGGTGGAGGTCCAGTAGCACAGCAGGGCTTCGTTCAGGTTTTATATTACGTAAACATTTATTAACATTAAACAAGGATTCGGTTCGGCTAACTAGCTACGGACGGCTAGCATGCTAACAGACTCACTCTCCGGCATCGCTGTGGGCAGCTAGTCCTCCTCTGCGGGCTGACAGGAGCTGAATCCCGGTTGAAGGAGCGACGGTAGCTCGGTTGAGCTTTTTATCTGCTTCTCTGTAGATTAACAGTTTCCCTGCAGCTCCGTTTGTTGTGTCTCCAAAGAGCTGTTTAGGGCAATTGCGTCACTTCCTTTGGTTGAATTTAGAGACAGCGGCCCCTGCAGGCGGGTTCGAGCATGACATCGAGGTCCAGAGATGCTGGGTGAAAATATGGGCCAGAAAATAGTGACAGAAAAACTCTATAGAAAACTTTAGAAAATACCACTTCGTGTAGTGTTTTATGGCGGTTGGCTAATTAGTTAAAGTGCATTACCGCCACCAACTGATAAGGAGTAAAACAAGGAAACAAAACTCACCCCCAGAAATGAATAATAATAATAGTTTTCCGAACTGCATGTTTTAACCCATCATAATGAAATAATCAAATTCATCATATTTACTAATCTGTCTTTATGTTTTTGTCACTCTGCCAATTTCTGATGGTCCTACTATTTTCCCATTTTTTCAACATTTTCCCATTTTCAATCTTTTACTTCAAGGTATTTTTCACTAATATTTAGATTTTTTTTCCCGGTTTTCTTTGACCTCTGAGCAGTACAATTGGTTTCCTCTAGCATAAAAAGTACAAAATTTTTCTTTTTAAGGATCTATGAGTCCTCTGCAATAGCAGTAGTTATTCCAAGCTCTACTTTCTTTTCTGTTCTCTTCAGATCTTTTGCTCTCTTCACAACCGCCATAAGCAGCAGTATGTTCTCCACCACAGTTACAGCATTTAATTTTAACCTCTTTACCACACTTTCCATATTTGCGCTCTCCAGCAGACCTTCCACATCATTGTTTTCCTTTAAATACTGCTGCTATATGACCACATTTTTGGCATTTGAAACTTCTCAGAGACGGAGGATTGTATATTTTTACATTGTAGCTCAAATCCATTGAAAACTTTACTCTATTTCTGCTCTATGATGTAAACGGCCTAAGAATCTGGCCTCCGGAGGACGCAGCCCATGAATTCAAACAGAGCCAATATCTACTGTCGTTCCCTGCTCATCAGTGACTGGATGCAATCAGCTGGTTTACCTCAGATAGAAACTTAAAAGCTTTAATCTGACGTGATGATCTGGATCTAGAAAGTGACCTGAGACAACATGATGGGATTGAAGCATAGAAGTGAGCCCTTAGTTGTTTTTTAAAGCACTTCAGAAAGACCTGTGAGAATCCTGTAGACCTGGACGACTGGGTCCATCTAATGACTTGGAGGAAAGGGGGAGTTCTGCTGGATCTGGAGAGGCTGACCTGATTCTGAGGTTTTTCACCTCGTTGGTTTGCTGCTCAGTTCACGTGTGTCTGGAGAACAGTGTCCGAACCAGCAGCAGCTAATCTATCAGGAACATGTTTGAAGAGAAACATCTCAGTCCAGGATGTCCCACTGATGAAACATTTCTGCTTAGGTTCCAGTTCCTCCCACAGCAGCAACATCAGAACCAGCAGATACCTGTTTAAATGCTTTCCCCGACGCATTAAACCAGCAATCCCCCCCTAAAACCATTAAGGACACAGCTGTGGATTCGGAGGCTTTATTCATATCAACACATTTACAGAAAAAACAGAACAGAGCTGGATTGGACCTGGCGCCAGGGGGCGGGGCTTATGGTTTGGCCTGGGCCAGGTTCTGGAGGGCGGCGGCCACCTGATCGGCGGACATGTTTTCCACAGAGACGCTTTTCTCCTTCCCAAATTCTGAGGACAAACAAAGCGTAAGTTTCCTCCACAGAGTGAGACCTCCGCAGATCCTCTGAAGGACTCACCGTATCGGGCCCACAGCCGGGCCTGGACTCCAGAACACTCCCGAATCAGGATGGGGAAGTCTGGGTTGGCCTTCTTCAGGGTCACATAGTTCTGCTCCACAAAGTCTCTGAAACAGATTAGAACCACCAGGAGGCGCTGTGAGGACAGGAATACCCAGAACTAACAGAACATTTTAATAATTTCCAGGGAAATAGAGACGCACTGATTCAATACCTGGATCGGATATCGGTGATTTGATAGCGGGGATACAATCTAGTGGACTTTACCTGGGACTGTCATTTCTTTCTTTTTGCTGCTTATTTGTTATTAAAGTCTATAAAAATCCTATCTGTGTTCATTTTGTTGTTTTTAATGTTTATGTCGAGGCCAAAGCTTTCTCTAACATGGCAGATATATGGTTCCTCCATTCTGCTGCTGAATCTGATCAGTATCAGATATCGGCCGATGCGCTCAGCCCACGTATCAGATTGGAAAAAACTGGAGTGGTGCATCTCTACAGGGAAACTGAACCAGCAGTAGAACAAATTTAAACTGGATCTGAAATTATATCAGAGGAGGAGATGAGACGTTTACCTGGAGAACATCTGAGATCCTCAGAACCCAGAAGACTGGGACCAATTAAGGACATCAGTCAGTAAAGGTCTGAAACAACCCAGAAACAGCCCAACAAGAACCTGATAGGAACAACATTAAATTCCTCGTCTTCTGGAGGAGCTGACTGTCCTTCAGGGAAACCTTCTCCTCATCCTTCATGCCCAGCAGCAGCTTTGGGACGGA